ATATTGGGTGTTAATGTGTTTTGTATGGATATCCAATGAAAAAACAATAAACACATTGAAAATGAATGATCAAATTGACAATTTTTGTTGACCAAATGAATATCGAAAGAATGTTTTTGTTTATTATGAAATAAATAACAAAATAATGAGCATACGGTAGCTCCCAACAACAACAATAGAAAAAATTCTTGGGACTCAAACAAACAAACAAAAAACAATGACAATTAAATGAACAGAAAGAAACTCTTCAAAGAATGTCTCCTTGTGTGTGTGTGGCTTATAACAACAATAATAATAATAATTATATCCCAAACAATAAAAAAACGACGACTTGGTCGCTGTTGTTATTTTCACATAAGGATAGAGAGAGAATTATAGAATAATAAAATAACAATTGCACTGAACAAAATAAAAATAAAAATATCTTTACCAATTCTCAATTGGATACTAAACACAGTAATGGTAATGGTAATTGGTAACGAAAATTGGAAAAGAATAGCAGAAAAAAAGAAAAAGAAATTAGTTCAAATTAAAGACACTTTTTTTTGTTCCATTGCATTCTCCCCTTGGTATGATTGGGCAACAATAATGATGATGATCGTTGTCGTTGTTGTTGTCGCCTAGGTCGCATTTTTTTCATTTTATTTTTTTTCCATTCATTTGCCTTGGTGACACAAACATTATATTACTTTGAGGATATTTTATTTTTTTGTTTTGTTGCTTGGTTGGTTGATGACATTGGAGAATGAAAAGAGATCAGGATCGAGAGGTTGATTTTTTTATATATTTTTTTCTCTTTTTGGTTGACAGTAGCCCGTAAATTATTATTACTACCATCACTATATCGTTCGTTATTATTATTATAGCTTTTAAATTAGTTCTAAATTAGTCACAAATTAGCTTTATAATAATAATAATAATAATAATAATTTGGAAAAAAGCTTGAACTTGCGAACGATCATGATGATGATGATGATAAAAACACACACACAAAACATCAATAGAAAGAGAATCATCATTTAATGAATGTCTATAAGGGAATATATTGAGAGTTTTCCACACACAAAAACACCAAAAACACATCAAATTTATTGAAGATAATGCTACTAATGGATAGATGATTTGTTCTTCTCTCAATTCATTTTGGTTTATTGTCATTTGATCAATGAAAAGAAATAATTCCATATGGATTCCCAAAATCGAAAAACAAAAACATACAATTCGATTCGATTCATTGATGATGCTATCATTGAAACTACAATTATCCATTTGGATTCATTTCATGATACTAAATATATAAGGTTTGAAAGATCTTTCATTTATTTATCGGTAATTTTTATTTTATTCAAACAGGAAAAAATGAAATTCACAAAAAATTAGTTTAAGAAATATAAACGCAAAAAAACTCCCATTGTTTTCATTGAAAATTTCTTTCCTGAAAAATCAAATTTAATGATGATGATGTTAATGAAATTTGGTGAGAGGGGATAGAAGATATGGGGGAAACATCGATATTCATGTTTTTATTCCAATCCAATCAAAACAAAAAAAATTGCATTACATGACTTTTCAATTTAAATCAAACAACGAATATAAAACAAAACTAACAGTAGTACGAAAAAATCGATTCGTTGTTGTTGTTGATGTCACCGTTGTTCATTCATATACACTACATATCAAATGGGAAAATAGATTGATGATGTTGTTTGTGTGAAAACCCCTTTTTTCTTGTATTTTTATATGGAAAACGGAATCATTTCGATCGCTAATGTCAACACAGAAATGGACCCTAACCATTACACAATAATGTTTTTTTCTTTTGATGGTAAATTTGCAACAAAAAATCAAACATTCCAAAATAACCCTTTTTGTCTGAATACAAATCAACAAAAAACAATGAAAAATAAGAGCATCTTTAAAAAAATATAGAAATACACCCTAAAGAATGATCAATTCAAACACACACATCTTGGTTGGTGCCAAATTTAACACCCAAAAATATCCATAACATCCACAGTTGATGATAATGTGCTACCATTATATAATAAACACATGATCATCATCAGTGTGAAAGTAGAGAATATGCTCGATATTGTTGTCGTCGTCCAAGATGATGATCATCATCAACAACATCGACATGGTGTTATAGTTTTGATTTTCGTTGACTATTTTTAGAACGTTATATTTTGAAATGAAACATATGTGATGTGGATGTAGATTTTCGCTTGTGTTTTGCATCTGAAAAAAAGATTTAACAAAAAAAAAAACTTTTTTCTTCTCAACATTGATGATGAATCTGTCAGGCGTATTCTTTAGCATCATCATCATCAATGGCAAAAAACATTGGCGGTCATCGTTTTCTTTTCTTCTGTTTGACTGGCAGACACAGTAATGATTGTTAGTTTGATGATGATGGTGATGATCATGATGATTGAGGAAACGGAGCAAACAAGACTCTATAACTTTTACGAGAAAAAAACCACCAAAGTCATCATCATCATTCAATGAGGAAGAAAAATATATTTCAAAAAACTTATCGACAGCCACAAAATGAAAGAGAGGAGGGCAGAGAATCATCATCATTACCCATTACCCATTATCATTATGTGTGTATGAATGGTAGCTGAAAACAGCAAAAAGAAAAAAAATTCCATGACAAGTAAATAACCCGCAACAACAACATTGGTCAGTAGCGATGTCATTTTGGTTGGTTAGTTGGTGAAATAATCATCATCTATACCTACACACTACAAACCACCAATAATAGGTTATAATGATAATTTGGTTTCGTTTCTGGTTAGAAATGCAGGTAATTATTCCATTCTCTTTTCGAAGAAATGCGAAATGCGAAAAAAACCATTATCATTGGAGAATACGATTCGAGGTGCGTCCCAATCATCATCATTATGATGATGATTATGTGGATGATGATAGCATTGAAAAGTTTAGCAAAGTTATTATTACACCATTGAATCAAAACAACAAAGTCGATGAACTATATATATTCAAATTATGCATCATTTTCAAATTCATTCATAAAATGTGAACAACAACCAAATCAATATTCATCGATTATACCATTAGCATTTGAAAGAAGAAAAATCATGATTGTTGTTATTAATAATTAATAATAATTATTATTATAATATAGTTTCGTAATTATTTATAATATTTATAATATATTAAAAATGGTAATAATTTATATAAAACAAATTTCGAATGAAAATGAAAAATGAAATGATAAAATGAGAAATTATGTCATCGTGTGTGTGTGTGATGCGTTTCATTAGCTGGATTTTCAAACGATGATGATGCTGCTTATTTGTTTTTTGATTGTAGAAAGACACAAATTTTTGTTTGTTTGATAAGTAGAATTCCTGGATTCTTTAATGATGCCGTTCTTGTATGAAAGTCAAAAAAAAATTAATGAATGTCCATATGAATTTTTGATACCGATAAGGTAGGTCAATTCATTAGTCTATAAAAAACTATACAAATTTTTTCAAGTGTGATGTGTGTACTATACAAAATGAAATTGATTAAAATAAACAAAAAAAATATGTCTATGTGTCTGTTTGTTGTACTAAATTTTGGTTGACAATTTGAAAAAAAAACAAAAGATGATACAGAATTTGATTTAAAGACAAAAAAAAACAACAATTTTCTATTATATTCATTTTTTCTGTTTCAATAATTCAAGGGACATTCAATAAGAATCTTTTTTTGTTGGTTTGAAACATTTTTTCAAAGCATCATTTTTATTTGACAAGTTTGTGTATGTGTGGGTTACGTATTTCAATTTTTTTCCATTAATAATAATGATAATGATGAATGTCGAGGCTAATGATGATGATGATGAGATTCTGTTTGTTTGTTTGAAGAAGAAAAATTCCGAAGTGAAAAAAATGACACGAGATTGATGAATTTGATTTGGAAAAATAATAATAATAATAAGAATGAGAAGAAGAAAAAACACACTAGAGAAAGAGAGCTGATATTATGAGCGAGATGATGATGAGAAAAAACTGACTGCTCAAAATATGTTAAGAATTGAACGTTGTTGATGTTGATGATGATGATATAATAAGAATATTTTTTTCAAAAATGAATCGATAAGGATTATTATACAGGTTTTGTGTGAGTTTCAAAAATTTCTGTTATTAAAAATTCCAATGACAATGATAATGATGATGATGATTGACGAAGACAATTACCGTTGAGTTTGTTGAGGTTATTTTCAATTTGAATTGAGATGATCAACGACAATATCGATAATGATGACTGACCGATACAAACAACAACAAACGAACAATATCGGATTGACAATAAGGTGTGTATGTGTGTGTGTTTTTTTGAATGTTTCAAAGAACCAAAAAAGAGAATAGAGATCGAAAATCAAAATAATGATTATGATGAATTAATGTTTTGAACAGAAAAGAAAAACAAATCAAGAAAATTATTAATCAAACAAGATCAACAACAAAAGAAAAAAAGAAGATTGTAAGAAGATGATGAAGATCTTCAGGGAGAAAAATAAGAATTTTTTCAACAAAAAAAAAATTAAAGAAGCTCGTTCGTATTGTGTTTGTTTGTGTGTAGGTGGTGTGTGATGTGTGCGATACAGTTTCATCGAATTGTTGTTGTTGTTGAAAGCAAGATTAATTAGCTGTTGATATTGTCTTTTGTTTAACCGGATGACGACGAAATTGATGAGGATGATGGTAGGATATTAACATTCTTGCTTTTTTGTTCACAAATTAAAATCCGGTTGTTTAAATTTTCTCTCGATCAGTCAATCATCATCGATAACTATCGATTTTTTGTTGTTGTAGTTGAAACAAAACAAAACAAAAAAACATTGATTGAAATCGGGTGCACAGGTGACAAATTTACTGAATGAATTTATTTATTTAAAAGTGAAATGATGATGTTGAATTTGATTTGTGATTGACAAACAGATTTAAATTAAATTAATAATAAAAAACAAACGTAAATCGATCAACGACATTATCATATCAAATGATGATGATGAGAATGATGATAATGATGAGGTTTTTCTTCATTGATGAATGATGATGATGGTGATTATAATGATGAGGAAAAAGAAAAAGAGAGAGAGAGAGAGAGATGTATCACGGACTATTTACACCATGCGGACTGTATCCCATTGCAACCTAATTGATGATGATGATTTTGGTAAAAGAAAAGAAAGCAAAGAAGACAATTGATTAATTCATTCATCAATATCATCATTTTTGAAAGAGAAATTTAAATCAATTAATTAAAAATAACTTTACCTGAGCCGAACTATAATCACCATTCAGTGACCAACCATCCTGCGATGAACTAGGCGGTGGTGGTGGACTCATTATGGATGAATTTTGTGATGAAGGCGTTAGGCCATAAGGAGAATTGCCGGCAGCAGCTAAAATAGCGAACGAAAGAAACAGAAAAATGAAATAAAATAAATGAATCACGAAAAAAGAAAAACATTTTATAAAAAAAATTTCATAAATCATAATTAATTGATCGGAAAGAAGAAAAGAAAAAATAACGCAACAGCAAAACCAAACCGAAACAACCATAAGGCATCCAATTCATTTTAAACACGCGCGCAGCTGGGCATATATACCAAATATACCAAATATACCCCACACCATACATAATATATAAATGTGACGGAACTTGTATTCGTCAGGCAACATAATAAACAAACACAGAATGTGCTTACATTCACACATAGTGAATAAGAAGAAAAATTCATCATCATCATCATTCATACATCATTTTGACCGGTTGGTTGATGATGATCATGATCATGAAGGGGAAGAGGAGTGTCACATTTAAGGGTCATCAACAAAAGGTTGAAGGTTTTCTTTTTCCTTGATGATGATGATGGTTGTCAATCATTATCATCATCATCATTCATAGAGAAAATTAAGCAAAAAAAAATTCCGAAATAATGATAATTCATTCATTTCATTTCAAATTCAATTCAGTTTTTTCTCTATAAGCGCATGCTGTGTGTATATGTAAATTGTGTTCTTTTTTTTGAAATGCGAATGCGCTGTAATGTAATGTAATGTAATGAAAATGTTTGGTATATTCGTCATATAATGATGATAATAAAGAAAAAAAAATTGAAAGAACTGGACCTATATTGGCTTGATGTTGTTGTTGTCCATCAAGCATCACATCTATCCATCCATCCAAACAAACAAACAAATATTGAATTCGGATTGTACACACATGCGTTGTTGATGATATTCGTGATGTGTTTTCCCTCTCTGCATACATGTATCATTCATTCATTCATCCATATCAATGAAAGAATGATGTGACCGAGGGGGAATAATGCAAACGGATGCAAAAAATGTCAAACAAACAAACAACAATGTTGACAATGTCCATTAGATGGAGATAGTATCTAGGGTTGTTGTCGTTAGCGGATATCAAAAGTCCATAGTTTCATAAAGATCTTTGTTTTTTCTTAAAGAAACATCCATTGATGATGATGATAGAAAAAAATATAAAACTGTTTAATCGGAATTTGTAAGCGCTTGCGCCCAGAAATATGTGTTTCAAAAAATTTCCTATTTTTTTCTCTCTTTTTTGGTCTCATTGAATACCCAAGAAACTCGAAGAACCAAAAATGTTTCCATCATCATCATCATAAGACGCCTTCCACGAATCTCTATATACACACAGAAACACAAACACCGTTGCCATCCACCAAACAAACGGCGACGCACATCATCAAACATCGAAATTACGATTGACATCAACAAAAAAAACTTAAAGGAAAATATTTCCAAAAAAAAGAAAGGATATCTTTCATTTGTGTATATGAACAAACATAAAATGAATGTTTCTTTCATTCTTGATGGAATGGAATCGTGAATAAAACGAACACGGGAGCATGTTCACACAATCAAACTTTTGAATTTATAGAGCCGTGTTTTTTCCATTCTGATTCTGATGGCATTTTTGTTCACTAACCAAACCAATTCATGAGAATGGAAGGAAAGACAGACAGACATACATGAAATGAAATAAAAATAACAAAAAAAGCGGGCAGGAATGATCATCACGACGATGATGATGATGATGATTCTGGTTACGAAAATAGAATAGTGATTCGTATTTGGCGAAGAAAGAATAGAATACCTCCTCTATATATATAATTCTGGGTGTTTTTCATTCCTGTGTGTTTGATATTGATTGTATAACCCCGTAATGTTATTTAGCTGTCGATCATGACGACAATACGTCGACGTATGACGCCCGAAAAAATATAACCCGAATACGCCTGATATATATCAAACAAAAAAAAAGATTCGGTATTTGATGTGTGTTATATATGTGTCGGCCTGTCCTGTTTGATATGTATGTATGAATGGTATGCGTGTGATGCGTTTCATTCAATTTCTCCTGCGATCCATTATGAAAATAAGAACAACACACACACCAAATCAGCCAATTCAAATTAAGCTATGTGTTTTTCATCATCAAAACAAACGAACAAAAAATGTCAAAATGGGCGCGATCATCATCATCATGATCATGTTTTTTGTTTCTACTCGGTTGGCTGCTTTTTTTGTTTGGCATTCATAATACAATAAAATATACATACCTGCTTTTTTGGCAGCATAAAGATTTGCTTCTTCTTGCGCTTTACCAATATTCTTTTTATAACGAATTCGTTTATTACCAAACCAATTGGATACCTTGTTTTGGATGATAAAAATGATAAAAATTATTTGAAAAATTTAAATCTTTAGCAAAAACATACCTGCGATACTGTTATGGAACACTTTCGGGCCAATTCTTCTTTGGCTTCTTCGCTGGGATACGGATTTGATAAATGTGAATAAAAATATTCATTTAGTATTTCGGTTGCTTGTTTGGAAAAATTTCTTCGTTTTCTCCTAAAAAATGATGAAATGAAACAAAAACAAACAATAACAATTAGTCAATATCATAATCAACTATTTAAGAAAACTGGATCATATCATCATCATCATTCTAAATTCTTCTCTCTTGTACTGGATATTTACACACACACAGACCGATCGACCGACAAAGAATGAATGTGGGGGTGAAGAAAAAAATCATCAATCATTTAACTGATGCCATTTGTTGTTGTTGTTGATTCCTGAGGTTGATGGCAAATCAGCCAATATTGTTGTTGTTAATGTAGATTCTACAAGCATCATGAAAATGTTTACTTTTTATTATTTGTATTATATGATGTCTATTACATTTTCAAAGATCCAAAAAAAAGATGCAAATATTCAACAGAAATAAAAAAAAGGTCATAATTTTTGTTGTTGTTGACAAACATTGACAACAACAACAAAATCATTAAGAATTTGAATGATGATGATAATCATCATACATACCACTACTACCACCACCGCCATCATCATATAATCATCGATCATTATGAAAATTAAATGAAAAAAAAATGATAATAAAAGAATAAAAGTGTCGCCTATTATTATTATTTGATTATTCATCATCATTATTTAGGGGGACAAATTGATAATGATGATGAGATCAAACAACAAATAAATAAAATGAATTTTATCACCAAAAAACAACAAAGATGGATCGATATTGAACTTGACTGGAAAACCATAATAATTTTTTGTTTGTTTGAAAAACACAATTCTTTCATTGAACAACCAAGAAAAAAGCCATAAATCAAAATAAAGACAAACTTAAACTTAAACTCTCAAACACAACACACACACAAATTAGCCTAATCCTCTTTCATTTTTCTATTTATTCTGTTTCTGGTTTTATGGGTGAAATATTACCGACACAGAAAAAAGAACAAAACAGTGAAAGTGAATGAACGATTGAATTGCAGCGTGGATTCAAAAACAAAAACAACACGACCGAGGTAATCTTAAACAACAACAAAACTGAATAACCGAAAAATAATCAACCAGTTCAATAATCATCATCACAAAGCAACGAAAAAACAATGAAAAAACAACGAAACAAATAAAAAACCGACCGCGCCAAAATAAAAATCCTCATCATTAGTTACCCTGTAGTAAAACGCGAAGCTAATTAAAATGCGATTAATTTATATTTATTAATTATTATGGACATAATCATTGGGTTCTTCTTCATCATTATCATCCTTGTTTAGTTTCAATCATTTTCCCTATCAAAAATTCAAAAAAAGTTGTTTAATTACAATTTTTTTTGTTTTATGAATTATTGAATATTTTAATTTGCTACAAAGTAGCAAGAAAATGTTGTGCAAAAAAACGGAAACAAAACTTTTATTATTCTTTTCAACCGAACAACAATTTTGATGAATTGAATTTTTCATTCTCTTCAATGAACAACCGAATTGAAAAAAAATCGATCATCCCCAAAATATTAGCAGCTAATAATGAATCTCAGAATAATCGAAAAAATAAAATAAAATTTGAAAATATAAAATTGGTCGATGATGATGATGAAAGTCATCAAAGGATTATTTTACACACTTGAACAAATGAAATTCAGAGAATGAATGTGGAATGAGCCATAATTTCGTTTACGAATCAACGAATTCAGCTAAAATATTACGGCTCAGTGATCGAAAGGAATTTGTTCATTTTTTTCAATGAATTTTGATTAAATGAATTGGCACACACACACAAAGAGTTACTGATGGTTGTTCCCAAAATATCAAACAAAACAAAACAGAAAAAATATTCAAACAGCCAACACAATTTGAAGACATCAAAGGATTAGAAATTCATCATCATCAACTGAAAACAACAACCGAAAAAAAGAAAGCAAGAAAAACATAATGGAATGCATTCTGTTGTTGTAATGGTTAAATCATTTGGAAAAACATTTTCTTCTTCCTATACAAACACAAAATACCTTTTCATATATAACACACACATCGAATTGGCAAAATTTTTTCCATTTTTTTCATTATTCTTTTCATTGTTTACTCTGTGCGTTTGTTTGTTTGGGTATGGAATTCGAAATATGCTATTTTGGATGATGTTGCTTTTGATCCATCACATCACATTGCATCATAGATGAAACTTTTCATTTTCATTTTGTTTAGTTTTGTTTGATGAGCAGCTATTTGAAATATATTGTGTATGCTCGCATCTCAGCTAATAAATAAATTCTTTCATCAAAAAAAATTATTCTGGAACACCACCATAACAACAACAACAATGGCAGGCAACGGGCCGAAAAAACGAAACGAAAATTGCTAATTTTCGTTTCGACAGTATCAAAGAAAAAATGAAAGAATATTCATCATCATGTTTTTCGCTGTTGCAAAAATTCAACCAAAACAATATCTGATGATGATGATTTTGATGGCTATAAAAAGTTGTATATGCAAGCAAAAAACAAAAATTGTTTCCAATAGATTTTTCATTCATTGCCTTGTCATCATATTGATGATCATCATTTTTTTCTTTATTTGGCTGGTGAAAATGAAATTTTGAAACACACAAACACTGCAGCAGCAGCAGCAGTAGTGAACATTTTTCGCATACAGCAAAAAATGTGTGTTAGAGAATCTTGGTATACTGGAGAAATATTTCTTGTTTGATCATCTGTATTTATATTTATTTATTAATATCATTACTTTTCAATGGATCAATGGTTTTCTCTGTGTATGAAAATTAAATCACGGTATTTATTCATTATTATCATCAGTAAAGCAGACTTCATGTGTGACAATAAACAAATTTGATGACAGTGTAACACATTCAAATAAAAACATCCAAGAATATTCTTGTTTTAGACAATTTATTTTCACCATATCGACAATATGTAAAAGAAAGGGTATCGACAAGATAAGAAAAAGAAAATATAAAGGTTTTTTTGAATGGTAAAAAGAGAATTTTTCCTGTTTTACATTATTTATTTATGAAAAACAAATCAAATTGAATGCAACAACAACACCGAGACCTTTAAATAAATAGCTAATTTATCTATATTATACGTGTGTGTGTCTATTATATATTGGTTATTATTATCATCATTGACTATTTTGAACATCTTTTCCACATGCTACAAACAGAAACAGGAAAAATCGAAACGAAACGAAAATGACTTTTTCATGTGATCATCATAATCATTATGATGATAATGTGATGATTCCCAATAGGGTGACACAGAATAATATCGACATTGTTGTTTGTTTTGTTGTTTGGCATTGTGAAAATGGTAAAAAACAAATCTAAACACAGTTTAAATATCAACATCATTTTCGGGGTTCCAGAAAAAGGTGGGAAACACATTATTATTTATAAGTTTATAAATAAAATATCAAAATCAAAATCAAAAGCTTTTCTTTCTACTGAAAATGTTTGAAAAACTTTTGGATTTTTCTTTTTTTTTCAGCTGAATGTATCACTTGTAAATTGATAAACAATAACATTCATCCAAAACAGAAAAAAATGATGCGACACCAAAACAATAACTGAATATTGTTATTGTCTGTAGTGGTTCATTCTTTGTTTAACTACATTGCATCAAAAACAAAACGAAAAAAACGACTATACTTTGCATTAGAGAAAAAACATTTATCGATATGATCCTGAACACTAAATCCTTCTTCAATATATACCACCATACACCATTCATTACATTTTCATTTTATTTTCATTACGCACACCATGGATATAGAGAGAAATGTATATTTGAACAACCAAGAAAAAAACAATAAGAAAAAATAAAGCCGAAATAAACCCCGAAAGAAAGAAAAAAATCTATATCCAAACACCAATATATGATCACATCACACACACACCAGGTTGCCAATCGAGAATTATTATTATCATAGTTATTGTGTGAGAGGGAATTTTCATTCACCAACTAAAGACAATAACGAATTTTTATTTTGAAATCCTAAGCTACCATACACCATATTTGATGTTGGAAAATATTAGAGAAAGAAAATATTAGAGGAAGAAAATCCCAAATGAAAAATACACATAGCACATAGACATAAGCTTAACTGTTTAGCCTTATTTAATCCCTTTTTGGATGCAAAAAGTATATGAGTTTTTCTTTTTTCTTTTTGTTTTAGTTTGTTTTAGTCATATCCTAACATTTTATATCATGGTCATACAAAAAACACACACAAGTTTTCTTCTATCATTCCAATACAAACATATAATATTTATCACAACCAAAGAGAAATATAGAGAATTTTAGATATGATCATCACATTGCAGTCTGATGTTGGCTGGCAATTTTTTTCATCTTTTCAATTTTCGTCTATCAAATCTATGTCCTGGATCAATTTGAATGATGCTTGGATGAAAATGGATTTTCATCATACTGATGTTTACAACCAATTTCTTTCTGGAAAATTCTTATAAAATTGGTAAATTGTTACATACCTTGCATCAAGAAAACGAGACCTTAATATCATGACGGCTTCACAGGTGCTCTGTTTCAATTGGACTTGTATAGAGTTGAATTTTTTATGTATTATTTGCACCATTCTTTCAATTTCTTTGGGCGTTATTGGCCGTGTTCGTGATTGTTCACGTAATAGATTCATAACGTGCGTTGTGAATTCCTGGCAAGCCTGTTTTTGTTGAACAAAAAGTCATTATGTTAATGAGCGACAAAAAACCAGAACCGAACAAAAAACGAACCTGTTCGTATTTTTCCAATTCTTGATGATAAATGGTACGAATTTGGCCTAATTTAGCTCGATAATCAGAATGTTCAATAGCTGATTCACCGGTCGAATGTCCAACGGCTGCCGCTGCTGCTGCAGCAGCAGCAGATGCATTGGCTGCAGCTGATTGACCATTACCGCCACTTTTTTCCGGTCCAGCAACACCTTCAGCAATCAACATATTATCTAATCGCATTAATTGTGGATCCGGTGGTTCTTCTTCCTGTGTATTTCTTAGACTTAGAACTATATTTAGAGAAAAGAAAAAAAGAAAAGAAAAAATTCAATTAATAAATTTTCATTGAAAAAAATAAAGTAAAGATTCATGAAAATTGGCCGATATCAAAATTCAAAAATGAAAAACAAAAAATTCAGCAAACAAAAAATCCCGACACGTGTTGTTTGTTGTATGCACACTATACTTTTACTATGTCGTGGTGTGTGTCTTATCTTTGGTTGAGCAAAGAATAATAGAAAGAGTTAACAATTCATTTCCTCAATTTTTTTGTTGATTATTATCATAAATATCAACTATGATGATCATCATCAAATCAAGACACGTGTCTTTCAAAACAATTTCCAATATTCAAACAAACAACAACGGAAACGTATTGGATACGGAATATTTCTGATTAATTCAATTGATTGTAATGATGATGATGATGATTGAATGGATGATTGGATAGATCTATAGTAACGAGAAAGCCATACACACACGTTTCACGTTGACGTTTCATTTTGTTTGTTTGCGATTCGATAGAAACAGAGAAATGAAATGTCTCCTTGATTATCATCATACATTCTCACAATATATTCAATCATGCTAATTGTATTCTATAAATAAAAATTGCATATCTTTATCCTTTTTTTGGGGAAAGGAATAGGAAAAAAATGAAAAACTTTTTTTCCTGAAAAAAGATACTTGAAACCCGAAAGAAGAACTTGAACAGCGATAACAAAGAAAAGAATCCAAGAGTTTTGTATTTTAATTTATTCACAACAAAAAAAAGACGATAATGATGATCAGATCACATACTGTGTCTGTGTACTCAATCCAGAATCGTGATGATGCACGATGCACGAGTTGATATTTGGTTTCTTTTCATCATTATCATTATTAATAATAACAGTGAACAAAAAGAAAACAACAAACAAACGAAATTAAACACCAGCAGAGAGAAAGAGAGAGATGCATATGATGATCATCATATTTGGAAAGGCAATCTACATAATGGGATTACACATCTAATATCATCATACCATGCATGAAATAGAAAACCCAAATAACTAAACTTTTTTTGTTTTGTTTTCAATGAAGAGAAAGGATTCATTTTTTATTAAATGAAAAAAGTACTTAAAATATGTCACACCACACCATCATGTTTAAGACAATAAAAATTCATCATCAAAATGAAAAAATTCGCAAAAGAGAGGATCATCATCATCTTATTATCATATTTGCTGATGTGATGTGATGATGAAAAATTAACAAGATTAAAGATAGGGAGAAAGAAAATCATCACATCGTTAAACGGAGATGGAAGAATTTCATAAAGAAAGAATACAACATAGAAAAAATGATTGAAGAATTCTCATCAATTTTGAATTCACAACCAAACTTATCAATCGAAATTGAAATGGAAATTTCTTTGACATGATGATGAGACATGAGTCAATTCGAATCGAGTCGTCAAATTTCCTTCCTTCCTTCCTTCCTGTTCCATTCGTACGTTTGTGTGTGTGCGTGTGTGTCACACACGCGTTTTTGTTCCTGGAACAAGATGATCATAGGCAACAACAGAATCACAAGAGAAACTCTTGTGTTTTCCTCATATGGTTGGAGAATTTCTAAAATCCAAAAATAATAACCAATGATGCGACGATTCCGTTTTTCGTTTTTTAACAGAAAAAATTCACGTCATCCACACAGCACACACACAGAGAGAGAGTTTCATTGTTACGAATGGACCCCCGAACACAATCGAATCAAATCTTGAGAAAGTCATTGAAAAAGGAAAAAAATTTAAATTTTAAAATAGCAACAACAATGATGATTGTGTTCAACATTTCCTATTTTTTCGGAATTCACAAACAAAACAAAAAACAGCAACACAGACATACACAGTGTCCAAAAAATTTTGTCAAAATTTTTCTCTTCATTGAATTCATCAAAAAGAAAAAAATTGAACTTTCCATCAATAGAACCAAAGAGAAACGAACAAACGACAAACGAATGTTGGGACATAAATCAAATTAAAATAACTAAATTCAGGAAAAAAATTGAATCGATCAAAACATTTTTTTCCGTTTGATCTGTATTGTGACCACCATCATGGTGTTTTGGTCGTAATATCGGTCACATTTGTGTTCGAGTGAGAGAGAATAACCGAATCAGGCAGGAAAAAAATCAAATTAAAAAATTTGGAAGGAAAAAAATTGGAATTTTTTTTTTCTGGTCCAATTGGAGCAAACGAAAAAAAGTTAAGTTAACAAGCTAAAGTCATTCGAGAGTGTGTGATGATCATTACCAAGTTTTTAGCAAGGAACATTTTCATTTGATCATTTGATTCAGCAGAAAATAATTTGAAAAAAATTCTCAAATTCCCAATACGCGATACAGGAGTCTTACCAGTTTCATTTTCATTTTGTTTGTTACGGGTTCCTGTTTCAAAAACATATCAAATTTTCAAATTTAAAAAAAAATAACCAAAAACTGGACAAAAATTTTCAATGAAATTAAATTCTCCATAGGAAAATTCGGGAAAAAATGTGACAAAACCAAAAAACATGAAAAATCTAACCAGAAAAATAAGTGGGTGGATTGCATTAGCAGTAACATTTACCCAAACAAAAAACGAAAATTCAAATCAACCCGATAATAATAACCAGAAAGAAAAACATCAACATCAAATTGTCGACAGCCTAATATTCGGTTTGGTTTTTGGTATTTGCGTGTTGTCCGTGTGTGTATGTTATGTCCAATGTTTTTTTTTTGTTTCATTTGGTCAAATTTGGTATGTTGGTGCTTTGTATGTGTGGGCATAGTGTAATATCATTCGATATACACACACCAACCAGCCAGCCAAAAATCAAATCAACCAAATAAAAATGAAGATAAACGACCAAGAGAGAGAATTGGAAACAAGAAAAGAGAAATGAGAAATGCAAACATGAAATGTTTTATCATCATGATGAGACTAGATCATCATCATCACCATCCAACTAACCAAACACGCATCATTTGCATTCTTTGAATATAAAAAAAATATTGTTTTTAGTGGACCGTTGATGACATTGACAACAACGGAGCAAACCGAAAAAAAACCTAAACTAAACTGAAATGAAATACAATCCTGGAAAAACAAGATGGAACAACGAAAAATTATTCGCTCAATTTGGTAATAATATTATGAACCAAACAAACAAACAAAAAACAACATCCAATATACAGATCACACACACACATCAAAAACAGCCATCATCAAGGGAAATCATCATTGATGATGATGAAAAAAAATCATGTTCAAGACATAAATGGGAGGGATGATGATCGAAAAATGGTTAGCGAACAAAATCCAAAAAATGACCAGGATACATGGTTAAATGATCAATGTTATCCTGATGTGATTTTTGGATTTTTTTTCTAGCCCAGAAAAAAATGTAAAATTTAAACATGTAAAATCAACATATTTTACATGTTTGTTTTCGGTTGGTGGTGGTTTGTCCATCCAAGAGCAAAATATATTACCATCGCCGCTGTACGATTCAATAAACATTTACAATAGACATCGTCATCACCACCATAGGATACATAGTGTGTGGGCACATGTCCATTCAATAATAAATAAAAAAAAGGTCAAAATGATAGAACCAGAGAACAAATGATGCAATGAAATCAAAATGACATTATATCCTCCCTGACCATTTATCGTGTGTGATTGCCATGTTTTTTTCATCATCATCACTATTATCGTTATCAAATTTGATTTCAATCGTTACCATCATCATTAAGATCAGTGGGAGATTTTTACATATAAAAAAGGTCAATTTTTTACAAAATGAATTGAAAAAAGTCATTCATTTCTTTTGAGGCTAAGCAAAAAATGTGTATGAGAAAGTTTTATGATGACAATAATCTATAGTCATAGTCATGATGACCAACCTAACCTCACTGAACTATGAATCATAGCCATAGTCATAGTCATAGTCATAGTCATCAACCTAACCTCACTGAACTATGAATCA